TGATGTTTATCTCAGGGCATGATGATCGATGAGGCCGATGAGTTTGTTGCAGGCCCTCAAAATAAGAAAAGAGGAAATTCTGGGGATTCCAACTCAGGCATTACTATGAAGAGAAGGCGGAGTATGTCCCCGTTACTGCGACGACCACAGACACCTCCAGGAAGTACAAACAACATGGCGGTGGGGAAGAGTCCAGTAGCTGTTTCAGGGCCGCAGAGCCTCCTCAAAGCCGTCCCACAGACCAAAGGTAGAATGAAGATGTCCTGATAAAGAAAAACAAACACACAATCACTGCCCCAATTAATACGAGCCATTCATGGAAAAATGTTGCACAGATTGAACTGAACGCTTGTATTCACTTTGTATTTCTTTGCCACAGGAGTAGAAGGCAACGACATGGCAGGCATTGAGACTAATGGGGACGGCGTTCTTGGCTCTGAGTCGGGGGAGATGTGGCCCTCTGAGATGGACACTGAAACAGAGGATCCGCCTTCACTGATCCTAGAGGAGAAGGCCAGGTTGTGTGAAGCAGAGGGGGAAGAGGACAGCAACATGATCGAGGAGACACTGCTAGAAGAGCAACTAGATGAGCAGCCATTGGAGGAGAAACTTGACTATGACAGACTGAGTCCACAGAGCCTGCTTGAGGACCCTGAAGCTGACCCTGCAGTACTTGAGACTATATATATAGCCCCACTAGATGGCAGCCAAGCAGAGTTGAGGAGCCGGATTATCAAGGAAGTTCGCAAACCTGGAAGAAGTGAGTATGAAAGGATGTGTCTTTTTTTACGAGCCTGTTGAAAAAAGTTTCACATTGGAAGACGATTGGCCGTCTCCTGATCTCTTTGTTTCCCCTCAGACTATGAGGCAATACTCGGAATACTGCAGCACGTGAGAGGACCAGTTAACATCCAGAAGTACTTCATCCAATATGCTATCAGAGAGGCTGTCAGGTAAGAGACAAGTTTTTCACACATGCAAAAAAACTCCTTCGTATTGAGCTGCATACCACAAAGGGCCAAACATTTCACCCTGACATCACCCCTTTAAACTGCCTAGTCAGATTTCAACATGAAGTCAGGGATTGCTGAGGTGTAAACGCAGCAGGAAATATTCAGGAAAATTCCAGACGAGCGAGTGGGGAGGGTTGATGATGTTTGTATCACCAACTGGTGCGCTCCTCAACAAAGACAACGTCGTGCACGTAACGCTCACCAGTAGAGGTGGGGAAAAAATTATGTAAAAAGAGATTCTTGTCTTCTGAGATTTTAAATAGATTCATAACCCCCAAAACTTTTTTTTTTTTGGCTTATTAGTCACTCCATGCTAAGTGCTAAAGCTAGCTCTTTAACTCAGTAGAATGCCAAATGGAGCAGCAAGATCCTGATGAAGTATGTACTAATTCATAAATAGACTTTGAACCATGAATCCAGAATCGTTTTGAATCAAAAATAGATTCTCAATCGAATTGTGAGCACAAGAATCAGAATAGAAAAACGACTTGTGAGACACCCAAAGAGTCCCATCCCTACTCACCAGTATGTTCTTTTCCACTCGTTTTTGTTACTGTGAAAACACATAGTATTGATTTGAAGGCAAGAAAAATGCTATTACAGTTTTGTACTCACAGCATCTGCAATTTTTTTATTTCTGCAGCATCGTTTCTTACGTCATGCCTCATGCTGTGAGGGACATACTGTATGTGAATCTGCAACTCAGGAAGATGTCAGGAGCAGGCTGTCTTTAAATTGTCGACACGTTTTCAGGAGTCCATGTGTGAAAACAGCTAATAGTAGCTAGTAGCCAATATGAGTGAAGGGAATGAGTTCTTGAATCTGTCCCTGACACATAACATGCCTGTCCTGCCTGCGTCACTGTTACTCACATGAAGTTTTAGTGTCCTTGGAGGACTGCGGCTATTAACAATGACACATAACCACCTTTCAGTTCATGTTTTATCAGGTACACCTACATTAATCTTCCATGTTTTTTCTCCGGCAGGTTCAAGAAGCGGGTTCTGATCCAGCAGCTGGAGACGGCCCTCACTGATCTGGAAGAGAAGCAAACAACAACTCCACAGCTTCTCAATGACAATGGCAGTTAGTACTGAACCATTTGTCTTTTTGTTACTGGTAAAATGAAAGAAGCTCCTCCTTTCTGACGTGTTTTCTGTTGACCATTCACCACCATGACAGAGATGTTCTTGTTGATTAGCTTCAAAATGAAAAATGAGGGTACTGAAGGGGGGGAATGACCAATGCACTGATAGCAGCAGCTCCCAACTCCCCGTGTGCTGTTCCATCACATCCTGTTAGAGGCAGACGGTAGGGGATTGAACTGGAGGAGAGCCTTCAGGACAGATCCACTGAGGATTATTACAGAGACTTTGAATATAATCCTCATTATACTGATGGATGCCTTAAACATACATATGGGCTTTGTCTGTATCAGCACATTGTTTAGAGCAGAAACACACACTTAACACTCCTTTAGAGAGATACACAATAAGCTGTGAGATCCTCATGTGGCACATGATGGACAGAGTCCTTCCTGGTGTTATTCCTCCGTAACTGATCTTCTTCAGCTGGTCTGAAAAAGGTTTGTAGGACTGCAACCATTCTTTAAACTTGTAAAACATGTGGGTGGAAAGAATCTGAGTATTAACATATATTTTTAATTTGATGTTGTAGTAAAACCTAAATATAATGTGATATTTAAAGACAGCTGTATCTCAGTGGGAACATTTGTGGTTAAATGATAATCTACTATCATCTGAATATTCCATTGACAAACCATTGAACGTTAGAAGATGATGTTGAAACTTCTTCTTTCTCCAAATCCAGTCATAAAAAACAGACTTGTCAAGAAAAGGTACATTTCTAAAGCCTGCGATACATTTCACATTAACAAACCCTAATCAGAACTGTCTCAGTAAAACAAAGATTCACTTTCACAGATGTATTTTTTTCATCAGATTGAATTGTCTCTTAAACAGCCTCACTCCCTTTGACTTGACACATTTAGTCATTTTAACAGCTGCAGTTGAGAACACAACAAAAACCACATATCACTGTTTACTGTCAGCATATGTCGTCTTCATGTCCATTAAAAATACCTTCCCTATAATCAGTGTTTACTGCTCTCCTAACTGAGCATCAATATCCTTCTACCTGCCATTACAACAGTACAACATGAGGTTTGTGAAGTTACTAAAAGTTGACTCATCTCACACACACGCAGAGTCCTGTGAAATCCCCCTCCAGAGCATCACAAACACTCCATTGATTTCAAGAATAATGACTTTATTGGGAGGAATTTCTGCATCGGTCCAGGCTCAGCTGACAGACACTTGCTGGATATCTGCCCTCTGCTGCTTTTTACATCAACCCAAGTCGATGTAAAAACAAAGAAAGGAAAAACAAAATCATCTTTGTTGATCTTTTTTATGACATATGTACACTACTTTTTAATGTTCATAACAACTATAGATTATTTTTTTGTGAATTTGTTTTATGTTTTTCAGAGTATAAGACATATTTTGGAAGACATGTTTAAAGCCAATTTTGTAAACTGTTAAATACATATATAAAATGGAAGGTTTCATCAACCTTTTTTTCACAAAACAAAAATAAACCTCAGGTAGAATGGTTTTCTGTGTGGTTGTCACTTTGTCTTGTTGTACTTTTAATATTCAGAGATTCACCTTCAGTAAAAAGATCAATATGTTGTGATCCTCGGTCAGCTAAGTAATATTTCTGAGTGTATTTCTTTTTATAGGAGCAGAGGAGGGCGTCCACACTACCTGCAGCACTCACAAAACCATTTTGGGCTTTCATCCCTTTTTCACAAAACGATGTTCACTTGTCACTCATTACATGTAGAGTTGCTGCTTGCCAACAGACAAAGCAGGCAACTTCTTGAGGCCCCGGGCTAGTAGGGGCCTCCCTAAACCACCGCAGTGGCTCAAAATGTGCAAAGTTAGCAATGACAGTAGGAAACCTCCCTAAGGGGGCCCTATCTAATAGCACTGACCCCTACTGCACTGATAATTGATGCTTGCATTGCTCCTGCAGTAACCTAAGTTTGTCAATGAAAGGAAAACTAAGAGAAGTAATCTGTCTGGGAGTAAAAAGAAGAGGAGGAAAAATGAAGCCAGGCAGTAACAACTCTTCATAACGACTTGATCTTGAGGAATGTTACTGAAATAAACATGGCCTCTGCCCATGTTCTAAAACATAATGGTGATGAACACTGGTTGGAGGGGCCCTCTTAAGTTTTTTTTTTTATTGCCTAGGATCCCACTAGACTCTAGGATCGCCCTCGGGTACATGCCTATGTGCACTGGGTGTCATCCGTTCAGCCATTTGCCCTCCTTTTACCTGAATAATTTCAGAGGTTGGAAGAATGAATTTGATTCTGTTAATTTATGAGGACAAAACCAAAAGGTGAAAACCCAAAAAGAGTGATTATTTAATATTGTAAGTGTCCATTCTGATGAAATGTGGGCTACAAAGAGAAAAGATGAAACACCTTTATATTAAAGAGTGTTTTTAAACCATCATCCTCTCAAATGAGTTTTAATGTTAAAACTTAAGGACCTAGATCAGCTAAATGGGCTGAAGAGTTCAACTGGAGATTTGAGATTGATGTGTGACTGGTGTATGGCTGCAGCTCTCCTGAGGTCTGAAAGTAAAGCTCACACTGCCACCCTGAGTCCAACAAGAGCAACTGATTAGAGGGAACATTTTGTGATGAGAGTCCAGTAACAAGGTCGCAGCTTCTGCCTTGTTTCTTTAAAAACATCCTGTTCTATGAACAAGGAGCTTCATCAGTGTCACAATATGCTTTTGTTATCATTTTCACTAAATTGATTAGAAAGATGTCAGAATAATAAACCACTGACATGACCTCGTTTTGTCCTCGAAAAGCCCTCTGCAGGTTTGATCCAAACACTAGTCTCTAAATGTACATTATGGACAAAAAAACACAGACAGGCAATGTAAAATCAGTACGCATTTTATTAAATTATAAACATCTGTTTAATCTTAACAAAACGTAAATGAAGGGAAAAAAAATAAACGTCACCCTGATGAATGTACCAGCGCTTTCTAGTTTATGTTCACAGTATCATCAGAGCGGCTGCCTAGAGGTTTCTGTTCGCACATCTCCGCTGGAGTTGATTTCCTGAAGCAGACCGCTTCAATGCATACAGGATGTAGAGACGAGTCTGCTTCGAGGAAATCATCAACACATATACAATATCCCCATTCATCTGACAAAAAACTCTTTTGAGTTGACAGAAGTTCGCGCAGACTGTTGCTAAAGACTGATGTGTGCTTGAAAGGAAACGGTTAAGAAACAGGCGGTCTCATGCCCCTCATACATAGGATATAGAAAAGACAGCGATATCCTGCTTCAGTTCAGAGAGGACAACAAGGGAAGATGTCTCTGTATCTCAAGACTCCAAAGCAATAACATACTGTTGTATATACAAACAAATCTGCTTGAAAAATTGATGGGTTGGCACAGTCAGTGTTGAATATGGTGGAGACCACTTCTATGGACAGAGATGCATGGACAGCATATTAGTTTATGTACAAATACAAATTAAAGTAGAGGGATTCTCACTCCGTCCCCTCTGTCTAACAAAAGAAAACAAAATCTTATCTGACAATGAAGTTACAGGCAGGAAAGGCCAGTCTCAGTGCAAATGCTCCAGCTTGCGTAACCGTATGGGGTTGGGGAGGGCTTGCTGGTTGCGTACAGAGGAGGGCTCCTCCTCCGGCGTGCGGAACAGCACCCGACCCCTGTGATTGAAGAGGTAAAACGATGGGTGGTTCCTCAGCGTATCAAATGTTCTAGAGAGAAAAACAAGGGGACGTTAACAAGAAAGCTGTGAGGTGTTGTACACATTAAATACTAACTTCAGCAGCTGCAGGGAAAATCCATGACTTTTATAATATTATTTATATTCTTACATCAAAGGCATGAAGGAATAAAACCTTAGGACATACATCAAGGCGAACCAACCCTGAATGCACGAGCCTCCTTCATACATGATGCTTTCTCGTCATTTGTTGGGATGTTTTGTCACACTACTGAATTAACATATCAAAATACCACAGCCATGATCACACACAGCAAACATATATTACAACGTGCTCTCGTTAAAAAGCGATAAAACGATGAAGCAAGAAGTGAGGGTAGGGCTGGGCGATGTCGAGGGTATATGGTGTATAATCACTCCAGGTTCACTTGCATGCTTTAAACTTGCAGCTGTTCTTTTTTATTTTTAACATTGTCATCCACTAACCCAAACATCTTTAGATGGTTAGTTGTAAAAGCAGGTCATTTCAAGAATGATGGTTATTATTCTTCTGAATAAATTGTTACTAATAATAAGAAGGAACTGGTTTCAGTCAAATTTACAGAATGTACCCAATTAATTTGTGCCCATTTTTTTTAGCCTAAGAACAAAGTAACATCAAATAATGTGCAAATTTCATACTGCAGATGAAACCGCTTCAAGAAGCCTTGCTGCTGTTGTGGTTCCTAACTTGCTTTCCCTTAGATCTTAATGAGTCACAGAGCCCATTTAAAAAAACAAACTGGCACCAGTGGACAGAAAATGGTGATTGAATCTGTGACTTAATTTTGTCTATAAGCAAACAAGACACACATTTATACAATCTTTTTCTGTTCTGGCCTTCTCAACACACTGGTCAAAGAATAACTTACTGCAACTTAAAAGGGGCTCAATATTTTTTTTCAGTGGGAATTGAACCACGGTTATGTTACTATAAATGAGGTTGAGGTGGTGAGCAGGCTTCCTCTGTGGCAGAGGACACAAACAAACATGTTGTCAAGGTGGTGGTGCTCTGACTCTACTCACTTGTTTTTCAATTCTGAGGAGGCGTCCATATCTTTGAACTCTCCAGCAATGTGGACAATGCCATAACAGGTCATCACAAACGACAACAAGGTCTGTAGTACAATCTGAAAACATGTAATAAGACACATTGATGTAAACATGGACAACACTTTAGAGATTGTTGTAAAAAAAAAAATTAAAAAAAAGACTGAATGAGCATGAAAGTTACTCACATCAATTGGTAGTGTCTCGTTTTCCTTCTCTGTGAGTCTCATGTATGACCGATCTGGTGGGGGAGAAACATTTTAATAGAATTACTTTATTGATCACAAAACTGGGAAATTGTGGCGTTACAGCAGCAGGTTGTCCAAACACACAATATGAGCAAAAAACACAATGTTAGCAAATCTAAACACAATATAATATTAAATACAAAGTAAATAAGCACTAAAAATATCAAAACTAAGAATGTAAATATATATAACCAGGATTTAACTAAGCATTACTAGTCTTAAATATGAAAGATTAAATGTAATGGACAGTATTTACATAGGGAGCTGTGCAATCAGTGATACATAAGTTAAAGTGCCTGAGTGTAGACATATCAGCAGAAACTATTCAATATAACTGCGAGTAGACAGACAAATGAAGTGAACATGAGTGCAGGGACAATTTGTAAATTTAACGGCATTAGAGATTTAATTGACACACTTCGCCATCTGAAGGAAGGCAGATGAACATACTCGTGTCCAAACGACAACATTTTAAAGGTAACTCGCTCTGTCAGTTGTCCAGTCTAGATGGAGGATGAGGTTTCAGTCTCCTGTGAGTGATTCTCGACGGGGTTAAGCTGCGCTAGCATTTATTAGCTCGCTGCTGGACCGTAAAGGCCCAGCCGGCTGCTCTGTCGCCGAAACTCAACGACCAACAAAGACCTCCGGGGTTAGAAAAACACACGGAGAAGCGTGTTTTCACACCACGTTTCAACACTTACGCTGTGCGGCTGAAAAAGCTGCGTGGGCTAAGGCAAAAAGTCCGATGCCGACAACACCTTTCCAAAAAGACGAAGCCATCTTGAACCAGTGCTGAGAGGAACTGTATGCAGTGTCGTAAAACAATGTCGTAAAACAATGTCGTAAACTGCCGGAACCATGACAGGGTAAAAAAAAAAAAAAACACAAGATTAAATCGATTAAAACAATAGACATAATACAAATATAATTTATCATGCATTTGTAATAATTTGTAGTGGTTTCAGATGTTCTATTCATATGCATTTTTTTTATTTTCGCCCATTATTTGTTAGGAAAATAATCCGGGCTTTTACTTTGAAAGGGTATGCTATCATGCGCTCGTGCCGCTGCCCTTTCCTGTAAGCCAACAGAGCTACATGTTATAGCACACTTAGCTTGTCATCTCTCTTTATATCTTTGTGTTCATCAAGTCTGTAGGACGTCCTGGTCAAACGCAAACATGGCAGAGGCCCTTCAAAAGAAACTGAAAGCGGAGTTAGAAAAATATACAGGGATGCAGAAAGGTAGGTACAGACTAACAACGCATGGTTTAGTGCCATGTTGTGGCGAGCTAGCTAACAGCCCTTATAAGGATAAGAGCTCAATAAGAGCTCAGTCTGTATTTCTTATGAACAATTCAGCATGATTACAACGATACTCCCAATAAATTATCAATACTGTTTTTATGAAAAGATGATTTTACTTGTAATGTTTGCTCTGTTTGTAGATGTGAGTAAGAGCATGTCAGCCAGACAGAAGCTGGAGAGTCAGCTGACTGATAACAACATTGTCAAAGAGGTAACCCACAGCTCATTTATCTTTAGAAAACTCACCTACTCCACTGTTGACATTGTTGTTGTTACACTGTTTTCCAACCATGTAATGCTCTTCATGTAAGGTTTGATTTCCCTGTGTCTTCTAGGAGCTAGATCTGCTGGACAGCACAAACACAGTATACAAGCTGATTGGTCCAGTATTAGTAAAACAAGACCTGGATGAAGCCAAAGCCACCGTCACTAAGAGGCTGGAGTACATCAATGGAGAGATGTGAGTCCTGTTGTCTTTCATCCTACATTGCAACCATCCTTAGCACCACATTGACATATTGCATTAAGTAGGGCTAGATTGATATTTCCATGCTTTAAAAACCCAATGAATCCAGTGTTGTTTCTGTCCATATGGGTTATTTCTAATCATGAGCTGTTTACCCTCCATCTGTGTGGTGACAGAGTTTATAAGGACTTAACTTGCAGCTTGAGCTGATCACATCTGATCGTCAGTAGTCACCACTGATACAAATAAATAGATATTCTATCATTGTTCTTTGTCACTGAAGCCTAATGTTACCAAGTGCTTTCTCATGGTGGACTTGCGTTGGGTCCGTATAAATAATATAAGAATGAGTATGGGCTTGACCTGTTTTATGTTAAATGCTTTGAGATAACATTTATTATGATTTAGTGCTATACAAATACAACTCGACTAATTGATGAAGCTGTAATGGATCTATACAAATCATATTTATTTAAGTAACTGCTGGAGGCAGTGGAGCCCATTACTGTAGCATGAGAAACATCAAATAGAGCTATGCTATATTCAGGCATGCTAATAGGATGCCTAAACCAACTCAGTTGCCTCCTTTTGAAACAAAGGACTAGATATTTCCCTTTGGATTTCTGTAGGAAACACATTTCTGCTGCCTGTTTCATTTATAGAGACTTTGAAGAGATATATTTCAAACAGAACTCAAAATCGTACCCTGTAATTTTCCTCAGTTTAAAGGGATACTTCACCCGTTGAAACATGAATCTGTATTGACATTGGGTCATATATGTAGTAGAAATGTTACACATTTTGAAGTTGGTGCCTTCTTGGCTGAGAAAAAGGCAGCACAATACCTTCAAAATCCCCTTCATCCATATCAGTTTGAAGTTGAAACATAATTATTTCCAAGCAATATGGCGGACGTTAAGTTTTGATTCTGGCAGTGAGTTCCCACCCACTGATCTGTGATTGGTCTGTAGCTTCAGTGGTCGAAAATATGAGGAACTAGCGTTGTAGTTTCACCCAGCTTACCACAACCGCTTCCGATGATGCAAAATGGCGATTTTTGCGTCACTTGAAGCTCCTTTTCAGACTCAGAAATACAAAGATTTCCCATCTCAGGGGAAAATGAGGGCAGGAAGCACGACCATTCAAAAATACGACCAGGTTTCTGATGATACAAAACTTAATGCAAATGGGTGAAGTATCCCTTTAAATGTAATAACTCCTTCTGTTAGATAACATCATACTATTTTACTCTAATGTACTCACCACTAATTCTTTACATTGTGCATTTTCAACGGGCGCTATGGCAACATGGACTAGAAATACACTCATGGTAAAGGCAGACACCTGACTACTACTAAATAGCCCAATGTGGATTTTTTTGCATGGCTCAGCTGTGTAATCCTGCTCATTAGCATGTAGAGGGCAGTAAAGAGTTAAATTGATGGACAGCATGGTCCTCATGGTGTCTCTCTGGTCTCAGGATGACTGAGAAAGTCAGACAGGAGCCTCAAAGTGTTGTTGAATAAACTCAGTTAACAGTGTGTAGGCTGTAGTTTGAGTGCTGTTTAATTGTTTCATAATTTGTAAGTGTAATCATCTCATTGGCTAGACACACACATATCAAAGAAAGATAGATGTTTGTGAAATGGGATTCATTCTGGTGTCTCTAATGCTATATTTTTTTGTATCGTGTAACAGTCAGCGGTACGAGGCGCTCCTGAAAGACATGGAAAAGAAATCTGAACAGCATCGAGAACTCCTGTCCAGTTTACAGCAAGAATATCAGCGAGCTCAAGGCATGGCTGGCAAAGTCTGACCATGTGATCCAACAGCAAGCTCACACCGAAACCCCCCCCCCACACACACACACACAGACAGACAGATAAAAAGAAGTGGATTATATAATTTTAGCCTTAAACATCAGTCTGAGTGAATTCTGCTTGTATCTCTGACTTTGTCTTATTACTAATAAACCTGTTTTTCATAGTCCAACCTTTGAATGTTTATTGTCTAAGCAGAGCTGATTGTTTCACCACAGCAGCACCATGTTGTGTGGACTGTAATTGGTGGGGGCAGGTATGAGGCCACCCAGCAGATGTTGTCCAGTCACTGACCCTCCCTACACCTCACTGCAGTGAAAAAGGCTCAGCAGTGCAGCTTTGTTCACATTAATGAATGTGTTTTCCCCCGCCGTGTACCACCAACGGAGGATTTAGGATACATGAATAATCTCCAACAATGTCTTCAATGGTCTTAAAAAGTCAAAACCGTCTAAAGTACGAATGCAAACTAAGGACACCCAGCTGACCTCTCATGACTTACGTGATAGTCCGCCTGTTGCGCTCGCTGTATTGTTAAAATAATATGACTTACGTAAAAACATCTTAACTATCGCATAAAAAAACATGTTGAAGATCTACCTCGAAAACTTTGGGTGCAGGGTTTATTTTATCCATGCAGATAACAACGACGGCATGCTAGTGTTGCACCCTTGAAATGAACCGGTCAGAACTCGTCCATCTTCACTTATTTGCAACTTTTATTTAAGAAAAATGCCCCACAGCTTTACACACTTCGTTTTCAGCCTACACACACCTCTGTGTCTCCTGCACTGAGCCTCTCTTAAAGGGCCAGTGTCTTCATCTTAAAGGGTAAATAAAACACAGTATTTACTGTTTACTCTTAGAAATTTAAATTAACTTAAATACTAATGCAAATTAACTTATTTTAACTAGACACACGGATATAACAAAATGACAGAAGAAAATATGAAAGCATTTTCATCATGTTACACTAGCATTTAACAGTCTTATCCACTCTGCTGTATCGTCTGAGTCTATTTAAATAACAGTCTTTTGGGAATGAGATTTGGACTGTGTAAACTTAATAATGCTGCATTGAATTACAGTCTGTTCTTTGTAGGCGACATAAAACAGGAGTCTAACTTTTATTTTTAAACTCGACCAAAAAAACCCTCACCGCCAAAGAACAAACGCCAAGAGCTTTCGTGCACGAGCCTATCACCGTAGGCGCGTGGGAGGCAGCAGACCCATTAGCACCTTGAGGTGTGCTGGATTTATAACCATTAACACCTTGAGGTGCGCTGGTTTTATAACATGCAGACTGCAGCTGTAAAGCTGGCCGACACGTGGCCTTTTGTAGCCCAAATATTTTCTTCATTTCTACTATCATACAATAAAAAGAGTCCTATTTGTTTAAGAACCTAAACCAACTCTGTGGATTACTAAATTATTAACCCCATGTGACACGTCCACGCTGTAACAAACATATCGTGAACTAGATTAATAAACTATAAGCTTATCCTCTTAAAGTATCAAAAACTGTAGATTCAAAGGTTCATTGGTTAATGCTTTATGAATATTTGGTTGACCTTAGTGCTCCGTGATTCACATGGTTGAAGAGGCCAAAAGGTGACTTATCACTTTGAGTTTATTGCGTTCTCGTCGATGTGATAAAAAGCAACAGAAGCATCTGATTGAAATGTTAAGCAGTGTGAACAGGTTCTCATGCTCAAAGCAAAAGTTCCCATGGAGTTCAGTGAAATGGCACTCTACAGTAAGACATGGGACAGAGTCGTCGTGTTTTGATTCACAGGCTAAACCACAACTGGAAACCTTTAAGCAGTTACATCCGCTGTAGAATAATCCTTAGCCTATAGTTTATACACTGCTGTGGATTTGTCACTGGTCCCGTTTAATCTCCATTTAGACTGGTAAAATACCTATCTGGCTTTAGGCTTTAATTGATTTACTTAGCCATTCAGGTCTTCCTCCGAGGGGTTTAATCTTAAAACGCTCAAAGAGCATCCTGTTACAGATTAACCATGCGGGACTAACACCTGCTTTGGTGAAGGTTGTTGAAGAATCAGCCTTTGAAGGAATTTGTATATCGACAGATTGCAAGCATGGACATAGACCTATTACATGGAGCTTTAGCCAAAACTAACCAAACCAATGTAACGAATTAGAATTAAGCAAAAACAAAAGGGTATGGCTTGAATTAGTGCAGATTAAAAACAGTTTACTAAAATCTGTTTCAACGTTTCAGTCTTATCAACTAACGTAATATTCCAGTTATATGCATCCTCCCATATGTCTTTGTTTTTAAATTGCCAGCACAATATGTCGAGTTATATATACTTTATTCCTTCAAATAGTCAAAGAGAACTTCTATAGGACAGGTTGTTTAACCCCCTCTGAGAGCTTCAGGGCGAGGTGTATTGAGAGGTAGCCATAGGCCCTCAGGCCTATTTGAAATGCTAAAAAGCAGAATTAAGTTGCCATTAACACACTTCTTTTTTTCATAGGCTTATGTGTTTTATTTATTTATACATCTTCATTGATGGTAATGTATAATGTAACAAGAATTAAATAGGATAGACACTTGAAGAAGGCTGGTTGATCTCTCTAAACTTCTTCATAGACCAACTCTGCACATGAGGATGTACGAACTATTGCAAGAACAAATCCTTTGTATGAAGGCATGGAGATCTCTATACAATAGCATGCACACAATCCATTGCAATTGAGAACAACTGTGTGCCAAACTGGTGGACAAATTTGATGGGTAGATACATTGAGATGATTTATGACTTGTACTGACTTGGCTGGTTTGCATGTTGTTGGGTGAACTTCTGTGAAACTTGGCACATTGCATACCCCACCCAAGGCGGTCTGACGCTAGTAAGTGTGCGAACGACCACTCAAGCTGACTTTTGTACATCTGAAAACCTGCTCTTTAGATCACAAAAGCACCAGGCTCCCTGATATTAGCATGTCAAAGGACGAATCTTTCATAACTGCTGTCCAGCCTGGATGAAGTATGTGCTAACTGTGCTTTGGATGTCCCACTCCATAGCTCCAAAGTCCGCTCGAACACATGCCATTCACGCAACAAATAGGCCACTCGAATGATCTGGAATATCAGGAAATCGTGATTTTATTGTAAGTGAGGACAAAGGAGAAGCAGAAGAGTAGAATTGATTCCAATTGATCTCTTAATTCCTATCACAAACAAGTAGAAATAGCAAAAATAGATTTCATGTAAAAGCAAATATTTCGATTTTACGCACGCATTACGCAACACCAAATGTGTTCACGTGTGTTCAAAAAATATCATTCATCTGCAGATATGTCGCAGTAAAAAATATAAAACATATTTACATCTAAAAAAAACTTTGGTAAAAAAAAAAGTGATGCGTGCGTGGCGCAAACATAAATCACCTATCCCAGATTTGAATGAAATCTAATCTGTCGGTAAAATATCTTTACTGTACAAAAGATCTCAAGCTGTACAACATAAACACATATTTACAAAGTCGGTCAGCATCTGCTACACAAACTTCATATAAAATCTATGTCAAAGTGTCTGTCACTGAGGCCAGGGCCTCCACACAGGATCGTGCGTGGAGGCTGCCGTGGGGGAAAGCAGCTTGGTGTCAGAGTGGAGACCAGTCATGGGGGTCTGGTTTGGATGAGAAAAGCCGGTGGCCCGGTGATGGAGGGGAGACCGAGCAGCCGGATCGGGAGTGGGCGATAAAGCACAGTGGATTTGTCCAGAAGATGGGTGATGGGTCCGGGGCTCGGGATGCGCAAAAGACGCTGGAACTGCACCCTTATCGGTTTCTCCCGAGTCCCTCTTGCTGGTTATGAAGTGGCTGACCCTCAGCAGACAGGACCTCATGCCGTTACTGTAGTTCTGTCGGCGGGCAGTGGTCGGTCTCTGATCTCTGGACAGGACTTTATTTATGGCGCGGTGACCCCTCTTCACGTCCTTGTCTGTCTTTAGGAATTGTACCACACTCTCCAGGATCTCTGCCTTCTCCACCTTTGGATTATTGAGCTTCTAAAAAGATTATATAAGACATATTAATGACTACGCAAGAGAAACATTTTTAAACTAGCAGAGGCCTATTTATAGGCATATGTATGTTTGTGTGAGTCATAAACATGCGCACTGCGGGTAACATACCTCATCGTTTGTGCTCTCCAGCATCAACAGTCTCAGAGTCTCCAGACTTTGGTTGATCCGCTCACGTCTGCGTTTCTCCATCACCGGTTTAGACACCTGGAGATTGAAAATAAAATATTACTGAATTGCCCCGAAGTAACATTTTCCATGAAGTTATTGGTGACACAGTGTGCAGCAGCTTACCCTTCTCATATTCCTTTGGTGATGCTCTGGTGAAGATAAAGCCTTCATGCTCTAAGCTTGCTCTCGTGTCTTTCCTCGATGTAAACACAAAATCCAAAATGGCACGTCGGCGTCCTCATTGCATTTTGTTGATGTTCATGCAGGTAGCCACGCCCACAGGGGGGTCACGCCTCTCATTCATTCAGCAGCACGCGGCCTTGACACAGAAAAACACATTTGGATTTGTTTCAGTCTGTTCAGCCTGTTTTATTTTTCAAGCGAAACTGAGCGAGGTTAATGTCATAGGGTCAGTCACGATTCATTTTTACGTCATTAAAAGTTAGGCCTACACTAATAATAGCCTAATAGCCTTCATATTTTCCTGGTACAAAATAATATCGGAGTATTTAATGTTTAATACAAGTGAAACTAAAATGTCTTGAAGTTTAAGAGACTCAGATTTATTCTATGATTGTATTTTGATGACTTTGCTGGTGCAGAAAATTTAAAAGAGCAAAGCATGCAGGGAAAAGTGTTATCACTGGCCTATTTATTTATTATAAGATTAACTTTATTGTCCCAGTGGGAATTTGTCTTGGACTTCACAGAACTCTGATGCAGTAGCAAAATAACGATATACATTCATTGGTCGGTAAAACATGTCAGTTAAATAATCATTAAATTCCATACAAGTGAATTACTAAAACCATAAATATGTAATAGTTAAGAAAAGTTCTCGTGGGAATCATTTTTTCTTATTGATTTTACACACACACACACACACACGCACACACACACACACACACCACACCCTCATAAAGGACCACGCTTGATGTGTTGTAGAGCCAAATTGCTCCATTCACACCTCAACCTGTGTGTTGTTACAGACCTGTGTTCAGTGGAGGTGTGGTGCTTAGAGGGCTTCTTAACTGGACTGAAGTTCTGTGCAGACTCAACATTGTAATGTTATATTTTTATAGCCTATAGATGTCCTGTCATTTTTTTCCAGTTTGGAGCTGACTGGTCTTTTCGTATGTAGCTTTCTTCGCACTGCATTTACGGTCACCCTGATCCTCATTATAGGCTCAAGTGTTGAGATAACACTGGGATGATCGGATCACGGGGATCCCGCAGATTAAGTGGCTTTTCAGAGGCACTGATACTTCCGTTTTCAATCAAAGAGCTAGGGCGATTAGTGGAGGCCCAGAGATATCTCTTGGTAACTATGGAAACACATCCTCAGAAGTGGATTTTTTTAAGCAAAAACTTTCAAATTTGTTAAAAACACACAGGCCTGTTTTATTAAAGCTAATTTAAAGGCAAAATATTATCTAGCCTACTTTTTTGCCGATTTTGTTTTGGTGAACATAATTGAATGTGTTTATCACATCTCTCTCTCTCTCTCTCTCTCTCTCTCTCAGTTTAATCCAATTTAAATCATTAAATCAGCTTTATTGGCATGACAGACCAGCAATCCATGTTTCCAAAGCAGTAGGCTGCAGAAAAATTATGATTTAAAAATGATTATTCAAATATATAGGCTACAAATATAACGACTATAATAACCTACAAGACAATAACTATTACTGAGAAACATTAAGTGTAGTTTAGCTTAATTTGTGACAACCATGAACATATCTTGCGGCTTGTACTGCACACAGACTTTTCAGCTCCTCTCTCTCTCTCTCTCTCTCTCTCTCTCTCCTGGGTTTAAGCCACGTGGACCCGCCCCATAAATAAGTTCTATAATGTGCTCGTCTGAGCCTGTGATGGAAACTAATTAGAGTAAATGTGTCCTTTGGTGGCAGAGAAACGGACCGTGTCCTTCCAATATCGTGAGCCGTCGGGTATGTCGGCAACACGGACGAGAGAGTTCAAATCAAACGGAGCAGAGGAGTCAGCAGCTGTTTGATATTTTAAAAGGATTTGGTGTGAAGTCCAAACACGAGGCATCAGGCTGACCCGAGGCAGCGCACACTTTGCACACAGGTGTAAAAATCATCCTCACACTTCATCACATCGAAAGACAAACATGACCTGCATGCTCCCTTATGCTCATTAAAGCCTCTATAGATTTATTAGCCTGCCTTCATTTTTTAATCATATAGGTTTGTCTGTCTACATGTTTTATTTCATTTCATGTGCTTAACTATTCATGAACTAAAGAGTCTGTCTGCAGTTAAGATTCTACTTTAGGTCCAACTCAGTTCTCATTTGGCCCTCTTTCACTGAGGCATGATGCAAAGTGTCGATGTCTCACACATCGTAAAAAAGTCCTCCAAGCTGCTCACTTTCTCACTTCGTTTCGGTTCCCACGAGAAGGTTCCCATAGTCTCACGTTATGGGGTGCATTAAGTAGGACGAAATCAATAAACATTAAGGAGATACAGGTACTTCTCAGATATTTAATTCTATTTCTAGTTATGAAATGCTTTTAAAAAGCGCTGGCTGAACCTGTCATTAGAGATATAGGACTAGATGTTACATTATAAAACGTCAACATGTCTGATGATTACTTTACCTGAGCATACATATTTTCTCTTTAACCTCTTTTAGAAATAGTATTTTCCCACCCTTACTTACCTGCAATATTTACATTTCAGCCTATGCAGTATTTATAATCTTTACTTGTGGCATATTTTTCTGAACCAACATTATCTGCTGTCAATGTTTCCTAAATATAAATTGTCTCTCTTACTTAAATGGAAGTTGTTTGTAGCTGTGTATGCCTGATTGTCTTTACACTTTAAGGTGAAGCATTTCTAATGTCATTGTACTTATTGTGTAATGACAATAAAGGTTTTCTATTCTGTCCTATGAAATCATCATTACTTTATATGTTAGCCAATAGATTATTGGATTTTTATTTTTGTTAAAAACTACTTTTTTTAAGAGACTTAGAATATAGTTTCGTTTTTCATCACAAGTGGGTGAGTTGAGCAAAGTATCCGCGAAGTGTCGTCACTCACACCTGTCAGCCAATCAGATGCAGCTTGAGGTTCCTTATAATCGCTCACAGACACCAGCCGGCTGTTTAAACTACTGCAGCTTTCACTGAGGACATCTGGACCGAAAGAGCAACATGACCAGGAAACAACAGGACCCAACTGTGGAGGATGGCAGAAGTAGAAAAAGGGTAAGAACTTTTAATTGACTTATTCAGGCGCTTAACTTAAGTGAATAATTCTGTATCAATTTAGAATTAATATATTGCTTTGTTCATGCAAATAAATCTGTTATTCGTCGTCTTTAAATAAGTCCCAAACAAATGATTCTGTTTGAGTTAACATTGTAATTGTCAAATGTAATCACGATGACCAATGAGTTGATTTGAATTATTTAACTAATTAATTAATAAACATTAAGGAGTTACTTGTACATGAAAAAAATGTATGCATACATTGATATAAAAGGAGTCAGGCGCATTGGTCAGCCAGGGTAACTTAATAAGTGACCACATCTCACCCTCCTCACATGATGCTCTGAATCCCTTTCCAGGCTCTGAAACCAGTTGTGGAAAAGAAAAGAAGAGATCGAATAAATCAAAGTCTGGCTAAACTGAGAAGTCTGCTGCTGAATCGTACTTCAGATCCAGTAAGTCATGTCAAAAAAAAGTCACTGCAACTTGAAATATGTAAGTGAATCAAACCCCCCCTAATGATGAAATGCTTTTGTCCTCTTACTGTTATCACCCACAGCGTCTGCAGAACCCTAAGATTGAGAAAGCAGAGATTCTTGACTTGGCTGTGGAGTATCTTCAAAAGTGGACAGAAGGGAGGAATCTGAGCAACGGTTAGACAAACAAAACACTCAATTAGCCCTTTAATATGAATGATAAAAACATTTAAATCAGTTTCTGCTATAATAAACTCAGTGTTTTAATCCTGCACTGCTGTGTTCTTCTGTTGTCTTTGCAGTTGTCTCAAACTTTACTGACGGTCAAATGAAGACTCTCACTCCTGTGGCAGACCCTCATCACTCAGAGTCCAGAGCTCCTTTGCTCTGTAACATAGAGAGCGCAGGTTTTCAGCAGTGTGTGGCCCAGCTGAGCAGCTACATGCACAAAATAACATCGACACAGAGGACGAGCCTGATCGAGGGCCTGAAGCTTCACAGAGAGAACCAACAGACAAGCAGGACGGAGGCAGACCTCAGCCACGACGTGACAGACATGACCAAAGGGTCGGAGGAAACATCTATGGATTCAATTTGCACATCTGAGAGGAGAGACGATTCCACCAAGCTGCTGTTTCCATCTCACTCTCCGTTTCAGCCCCACTCGTGCTCCACACCGTGCCACGACTATCTGTCCCCTCCTCCCTCTCCCTGGCTCTCTCCGTCGTTCTCCACATACGCCACCTCTCCTCCTTTCCCGTCATTTACCTCTCACTTCTCCTTCCCCTCCAGCCTGTCACCTCTGTCCTCCAACACCTCTTTCTTTAGTTTCTCGCCCACAGTCCCTCACCCTGGCCCACCTGTTGGCCACTGCCCCCATCTCACCACACTCAGACCCCCCACACACCCAGCAGCGAGGGAGGGGTCACCGCCCGACTCTCCCTCAGCCATGTGGAGACCTTGGTTCTGTTGAAGTGGACCAGAGACTTTTTAAAGAGCAGAGACACTGAGTTGTGAATAACTGCAATCATTTGCAGTGATGAGGATGAAAACCCGCCATGACAGGAATGTATAGTGTATATATAATCTAAAAATGTCTATATTTTGTATTTCTCTTGTAAATAAAATTTGAATATGAACTTAATAAGTCTCATAAGTCTCATTTCTAACATTTTTATTTTATCTTTTGTTTGAAAGGGACAGATACAATGAACACAGAAAAACTGAAAACAGCAATCTAATGCACTGTCCACTTATATCTACTCTTTATATATTTTGTATTTCAAGTTAAGCTTTAAGTTGTATTTAAATTGACACTTTATATTTTAGGTTTAAAATGTTTAGTCTACCTGCACTGTTGTTAATTTACTGCTCTGTGTGCTTTTGAATTGCCTTCCGGGGACACATAAAGTTTTTTGAATTTGAATTGAAGTATCATAGTGTTTATAGTGGATCATTAACTCTCGTCCTTAGAAGAGCTTTTGTGTAAATAAAGGGTTAAAACAGTTAAAAAGGAAAAATAGAGAGTAAAGTGGGTACAGAAAGAAACAATAAGACACATTTAGCTGTGATCAGAGGTGCTTCTTCATCAGGCATGGCAGGCAACTGCTTGGGGCCCCAGACCAGTAGGGGGCACCTGAGGGCTCACAAACTTAAACCAAAGCAGTGGCTCAAAAATGTGCAAATTTTGCATTGACAGTAGGAAACCTCTCTTCTAAGGGACACCCATCTGACAGCACTCACTCTTTGCCCTGCTAAGCATTGCATTGTTGCAGTAAAAACCAAAGTTTGTCAATGAAAGTAAAAAAGAAAAATGAAGAGGAATTACACGTCTTTAGGAGAGAAAAAAGAAACGGGGGAAAAAGGAGGAAGAGGAGTAAGTATTTAGACACTGGCAGACATAATGGTGATAAATGCTCGTTGGAGGGCGCCCTAAATGATTTTTGCCTATAGGGCCCCACCAGACTCTAGAATCGTCACTGGCTGTGATAGATAAAAACAATTAAACATGAGTACAAGTCTGTTGCTGAACTAACCAGAATTAATCTTCTGTATTCATAACTTCAATTTGAAAGAAGTGCTGGTTGTCTATTCCCGCACAGACCATGAGTTCACTGATGTGTTGCTGTAGACATGATATACAAATGATTTGTAACCATCCTGTATCAGATCTTATTAGTGATTTATGCACTTTTACCTTGTTAACCAGATTCAGGGCGGCTGAGGCTCAGTTGGTTGAGTCAGTCGTCTCTCAACTGGAAGGATGGGGGGTTTGATCCCCAGCTCCTGCAGCCACATGTCTGATGTGACCTTGAGCAAGACACCTAACCTCAGGTTGCTCTCACTGCTTCTTCTGCAGCGTATGAATGTGTATGGATGGGATTGGTTTCTTCTGATGGTCACTTTACATAGCAGCTTCTACCATCAGTGTGTGAATGTGTAGGTGTGACCTGTGGAGTAAAAGTGCTTTGAGTAGTCAGAAGACAAAAAAGGGCCATACAAGCTCAAGTCTATTTACCATTCACACTATGAGCACAGTTTAATGTTGTCTTCAGGTTTATTTGGGACACGAAACACACTGCAGAGGTTTAAAAAAGTTCTGCTTTCTTTCAAACAGTAACCGTCTTACTAAGTGGTGGTAAGAGGACTGAATGATTAGCCTGTAGTTAGTCTTATGATCAACCTCCTGATGTATGAGTTCTTATTAGTCCAGCTCATTAACCGGTGGTTGTTTTACGTAAATAGGAGACCAGTGAATGGGGATCTAGCTCTCATGACATTGAAAAAGTGGACCAACAACCTTAACAAAAGAGCGTCATTTTGATTTACAGTTTCCTTCTCCAAGCAGCTGCCCAACAGGGAACATCAGTCACACTCAGAAGTTTCCATGGAGCTGCTGAAATAAACACTATTCAGCAATTAATTAGCATTAGCATCAGGGAAGTACTCAGTATGATATTTATACTTTTACATTTAGATTGTTGCTTTGGTTCATTTGCAATTTAACTCATAACTTTTGCATGATTTATTTTTCAGTCACAAACTTGCAGGTTATTTTATGCATTGTCTTTATTTCAACTTAATAAAGCTGTCCATTGTAATCTGTTAAATTATTAATGATGCATTATGTTATGAAATACAGCAATTCTACAAAGAGACATGTTTTGTATTTCTTTGTGTATCTCTACAATTGTACTACAATTCACTCAGCAGACACTTATCCAAAGCCATGTTTTTTTTTGCAGAAATGTAAAGTGCGTTACAAATTAAATGTATTATTATTATTATTATTATGTACATCAGAGAGTAAGTACAACACAAGTAAGGATCTAGAACGGAGGAAACAACATCAGTAAGTACAAACGATCAGACACACAGGTGCTGACAGGCATTGCCCAGAGACAAAAAACAACATCGTCAGCTGTTCTTGAGAGTTTCTAATCAGCATAAAAACCATCCTAAATACCCTCGTTGTCATCATCAAACAAAACCATCATTATCCTCATCATCAATTTCATTAAGTGTTCATGAAAAAACTGGGACCTCAGTTTTTTCTTAAAGGTGCAAAGGGACTCTGCAGATTGAATGGAGCTAGGTAGTTTGTTCCACCACCGGGGGGCGACAGAGGAATAGAGTCTAGTTAGAGACTTAAGACCCTGTTATGAAGGTTGGACACTTTTATTGTCCTTTTACGTCTACTGTGTCACATTTCAGAAGGAATTATTGTATATTGTACTCTATGACATATTGTATGACATAAGTGTAATTTTTTTGACGTTGAAATTGCTTTTCAGATTCAACTTAATAATATGAAATATAACTGAAACATAAATTATATTTTACAATATCACTATATTGATCCAAGGAGGGATTTAAAAAAAATACTCATCAGTAAGTTATTTAAATGAATGTGACCTTTGCATGCTTGAAAATGAAATGAATGTCTACACTAAAACATCCATTATTATAACCCTGTGTATCCTGCACTATACTGGAATTGAACCATTCTGCATTAGGAGAACCATTTTTATTTTCTAACTTAGTTTACCTTTACTGAGGGACACCATCTGACAACCTAAAGATACAAACCAGTCTGTGAGGCTGTTGTAGTAAAATGTTCAGAAGAAATTCACAATATTAGAAATGGAATTCTTTGGCAGTGTCAGTTCAACTTCTGAGCAGCAGAGGGCAGCATTGACACAGGTAATTCAAAGAAGGTGATCTCCTTCCCACCTGGTCTCTCAAAATATGGCTAACAAAAAAGGGCGGTCAATTAAGACAATGTCATTGAACTATTTCATTAACAATAATCCTAAAATGTCTTTTCATCAAATCTTTAATACAACCTCTGAACATTTTCAGCAGGTAGGACTTGACTAAACCGACTTAGTCGCACGATAGAACATGTCTCTGGATAATACTTATATCTCCTCATTGCTCCACATCGCCTGCTGAAGCCCTCTCCGTGTGAGTGCCATGAGGTGGTCATTGTTCTTTGTCAGAGAAATAAGAGGGCAGACACATCACTGTGAGCTTGATTCTCCACACTGTCTGTCAGCAATGTTTTGATCATTCAGCGCTGACTTGTGAAAGCAGAGAAGGTCCCTCACGCTGGAGAGGACGACTGCTGCGGCGCGGCACATAATTAATAGGGAGAGAGATCACCTTTTGGAGTGACCAGACAATAGTTGAAACCTGCTTGGGGTTTTCTCAGAACATGCTGATTAGAGCTGATCCTGTTACACTCTTTAATCACTGTTTTTGTTTGCCATGAATGCTCCCATGCATTCCTGATTTGGAGAAAACTCCAGGCGTTGTGTTGTGGAGACGTCCCGGCCTGCTGAGGATCTCTGCATACCAACATGTTTGTGCTTTTCAGAGAATCAAACGCCGAGGCTTAAGTGGAGACAGCTTTAAAGCATGTACACAAACAGAAAAGGTGTGAACTGTGCTGTGCTGGCACGTAGCTCCACAGGACAGGTGGCTGTCTCTGAGAGATCCAAATAACAGTAAATATACAGGCGCTCTTTAAATAAAGACATTTTATTCACAAAAAATGAACACATCTGATTTACACTGATTCATTACCTTTCTGGACCTCAATTCAGGACATCTAAATGAATAAAAATAAAGAGAGGTCTTCCTGTTCTTTCTTCCTCATTCCACAGCTCTAGTTTGTATTGGAGTCCAAAAGAAAAAGATAATCTTCCCTGGAGCGTACGACTACATTTTCTCTCTAAAATGTTTATAAATGAACCAACACAAGGCTGATTCAAACACTTACAGGTCAGGACTTTGGTTCCTTGGGCTCGTTTATTTCCAAGAAAAGTGTTTAATTTGGAGCTATACCTTATACAAGAGCATACAACAGCATCCCTTATTTATTTTTAACCAGTGTGGTTGATAACTTATCAGTTTGCTTAAAATTGGTATCTCCTGGGGCGCTGGGGGAGCAGTGGTTGGTGCGCGTGACCCATGTGTGGAGGCTATGGTCCTCCAGGCGGGCAGTCCGGGTTCGGGTCTAGCCTGTGGCTCCTTTCCCGCATGTCATTCTCCACTCTCTCTCTCTCACTCTGATTTCCTACTCTATCCACTGTCCTGTTTCTGATGATAAAGGAAGAAAATGTCCAAAAATAAATCTTTAAAAAAATAAATAAATTGGTAACTCCTTCAAGGTCCTTTGAGCTCTTTTTTTATGATCTATTGTCTGTACATCCCTGTGTCTTTATTCATGTTTTCTATGTACTAGCTGCTCCAAACCAAGAGGGATTAATGAAGTAGTTTGAATCTGAATTGAATTTCAAACTCCTGGGGTAAGTGTTAATAACTAGATGATAAACTGTTCATGAGTGATTTATTTAAACATGAAACTATAAAAGAGATGTTACTTAATGCTGTCTTTTTGAATAAGGGTGATTGTAAATGATTTTGGGTTTAGTAAATGTGTTTATTTTAGCTCTATTTTGGAAGACA